TTCCTTTTGTTGTAATTTTCATGAAGCATAGTTTAGATATACATGAAAATTCTTTGCGAAGAAAATACTTTTTTTGGATATAAGTAGCACCTTTCTAGTTTCCTCTGATTATTGGAACAAATAAATTAACATGATGTCTGATATCCAAAAAACCCCAAATAAAATTATAAAATAAAAAAATATAAAATTAACATCTCTATTTACACATTTTATCCAAAAATGTGTGCACACACAATACACAGTATTTTCTTGGATAGGGTTGTTTCCTTTTGCTGTAATTTCCACAAAGAAAATACCTTTTTTTGAGTATAAGTAGCACCTTTTTAGTTTCCCTTGATTATCACAACAAAACAAGTTAACATGGCATCTAATATTTAAAAAATCCTAGATAAACTTATAAAATAAAAAAATAAAAAAAATAATATCTCTATTTACACTTTTTATCAAAAGAAAAAAAAAAAAGCACACACACATCACACGCTATTTCCATAGATAAGGGTTGTTTCCCTTTTGCTGCAATTTCCCACGAATAATAGTTTAGATATACATGGAAGTTTAAAAAAAAAAAGAAAAAACCTTTTTTTTCAGGTATAAGTAGCACCTTTTCAAGTTGCCCTGATTGCCGCAACAAACAAATTAACATGGCGTCTGACATCCAAGAAACCCCAGATGAACCTGTAACAAAATCTTCTCAACAAGTCCAAGAAATGAAACCCACTTTGAAACGACATGACTCCATGGATCTAGAATCCTCCCAACTTCCTGGCGGCAGCCATGGCTCCAAGGTTTTCTAATCTCTGCTTGCTTTGGTTCTCTTTTCATGGCTAGATAGATATTATAAATTACATAATCATTATGTTTTTCTTGGTGTTTATAAGGACTTGAGTTGGTCCATCATCTTGCATCTAGCATTCCAAAGCTTGGGGGTGGTGTATGGAGATATTGCCACATCTCCTCTGTATACAATTTCTAGCATTTTTTATCATGGCAGCATCGCAAACAATGATGATATAATCGGAGTTCTGTCTTTGATTTGGTATACACTCACGTTGATCCCTCTAGTCAAGTACATTTGCATCGTCTTATATGCCAACGACAATGGAGACGGTAAGATATCATCACGAACTAAATTCCAATCTAATTTTCTCTATTCTGAAACATCAAAATCGAATCTACTCATGAGTAGAGTTCGGTAAAGTCTTTTGATAATTGTATCGAGTTTTCTGCTTACATTCTATAAGACTGTCCAATTTTATATGAGTCATCCTAACTTATTAATATGAATTATTTAGGAGGGACGTTTGCTCTGTATTCGCTGATATGCAGATATGCAAAGGTGGGATTATTACCGAGTCAGCAAGCAGAGGATGTTGATGTCTCTAACTACCGACTGAATTTGCCAAAGGAGAGTCGGCAAAGAAGGGCATCGGCACTCAAGTCCAAGCTAGAGAATAGCAATTTCGCCAAATATTCCTTGCTCTTTGCCGCATTGCTTGGTACTTCTATGCTGATTGGTGATGGTGTCCTCACTCCTTGCATATCAGGTATTGGTCCATATTACATGATAACCAATAAATACCTCTTTTGTTGGCTTGAACCATCAAGTTTAAGACTCTTGGTTTTGAATTTTTTCCCCTAGTTTTATCAGCAGTAGGAGGCATCAAGGAAGCTACTCCTAAACTGACAGAAGGTACCTGAGAGATTATATAAAAATTGCTTGAAGTTTGGAATAAAAACAAATTATTGACAATTCTTGGTACTTCATATGTGCAGATATGATTGCGTGGTTTTCAGCTGTCATCTTGGTCATCCTTTTCGCAGTTCAGAAATTTGGAACAGATAAAATAGGCTACACCTTTGCTCCAATTCTTTGTACCTGGTGCTTGCTCATCGGAGGCATTGGCCTCTTTAACTTCATTAAATATGATCCAACAGTCGCCAAAGCTATATATCCTAAGTACATTGTGGACTACTTCAGAAGGAATCCAAAGGAAGCATGGATTTCCCTTGGTGGTGTAGTGCTATGCATAACAGGTTACAACTTTTTTTCACTCCCTAGCTCATATTAATTGGAATTCCCCGTTTGCTTAGGAATTTGTTGTTCAATGATGCAGGAGTTGAAGCTTTGTTCGCAGATGTAGGCCATTTCAGTGTAAAATCAATACAAATTAGCACTTGCTTCGTCGTCTACCCTTGTATAATGTTAGCCTATACTGGACAAAGCTCCTTTCTTCGGAAGCACCCAGAATTTGTTACTGATGCCTTCTACAAATCTGTACCTGGTAATTAACCTCTCTCTCTCTCTCTCTCTCTCTCTTTTACTTTCCTCTTTCTATTCTCTTCTTCTTCTGAACTTGTGATGGATGATTGTAATGATGCAGGCCCTTTGTACTGGCCAATGTTTGTGGTGGCCGTTTTAGCTTCAATCATTGGAAGTCAGTCTCTTATTTCAGGGACTTTCTCTATAATCCAACAGTCCCTCTCACTTGGGTGTTTTCCCCATGTCAAAGTTGTTCGTACCTCATCCAAGTATGAAGGCCAAGTTTACATTCCTGAAGTCAATTACTTTCTCATGCTGGCTTGTCTAGGAGTCACTCTTGGTTTCAGGACTACTGATAAGATCGGCAATGCATATGGTAATAGCATATCCCTTTTAGCCCTCTTCATCCATAAACTTTTAACAATTAGTAGATGAGTATTGAAACTGATGTCCAAGGTAATGTATGTATGTAGGGCTTGCTGTGGTGTTTGTTATAGGGCTCACTTCATGTTTCACTGTTCTGGTTATGATATTGATATGGAAGTCCAACATATTTGTCATAATTGCTTTTGTTGTTGTCATTGGATCCATGGAGCTGCTCTTCTTAAGTTCTGTCCTCTACAAATTCCAGCAAGGAGGATACCTACCGTTGGCCTTTGCTGCAATAATGATGACTATAATGCTTGTTTGGAATACTGTGTATCGGAGAAAGTACTACTATGAACTCGAGCATAAGATTTCCTCTCAGATGCTGATAGAGATGACAGCTAACACACACATTCCTAGATTTCCTGGGCTTGCGCTGTTTTACTCTGAGGTTGTTCAAGGTATTCCTCCTATCTTGAAGCAGTATTTGGACAACGTACCGGCATTACACTCAGTTCTTGTTCTTGTCTCCATCAAGTCACTTCCAATCAGCAAGGTTCCAGATGAAGAACGGTTCCTTTTCCGGAGGGTAGAACCAAGAGAACTCAACATGTTTCGTTGCGTCGTTAGATATGGATATATGGATTTACGGAAGGGTGCAGAACCTTTTGAGGGCATGTTAATTGAGAAACTTAAAGAGTTCATGAGGGAAGATTTTTTGTTATCTCAAAAACCTGCTAAAAACAAGAATATTGAGGAAGATGGAGATGTAAGCCACATTGACAACAAAGAGGATCAACAAGAGATGTTGGGGAGTGAAATACAAGAATTGGAGCAGGCTGCAAAAGCTGGTGTTTTTCACTTGATTAGTGAGAATGAAGTGATTGCTAGCAAAGGATCTAATTTAGGAAAAAGGATATTGATAGATTATGCTTACAATTTCTTGAAGAAGAACTCCAGGAAGACTCAGAAAGTGTTTCACATTCCTCAGCAGCGCTTGCTTAAGGTCGGCATGATTTATGAGCTCTAAGTCCTGTTTGCCATGCTAGATGCTCTAAGAAGATGATGGTGTAATAAATCTTTAAATGGTTGTAACAAACCATCACCTTGCCTTGCCTGCCTGTGGCTATATTTTTTCTGTAACAGCCTCGTTTCCATAATAACAATTTCTATTGAACATACTTTCCCTTTATTTTACTTCATTTCTGTGTAATAACAATGTAATAGCTTAGCTATTCAATAAACGCTGATAAAAAAAAGAAACAAAAAAAAGGAGCTATTCAATAAACCAAACTTGACCCTGGAATTTAGAAATTGAGAGAACTAAGGAGATTGATAACAAGATAACAGCTATCCTTTATTACTTGAAGCAAAAATGAATCTTTACATCAAAAAGTACAAGGTTAAAACGGATATATCGTCTAAAGTATGCTGGTAAATCGTAACAGCAACTCCATTTACAAAATGTAATAACAGAAAGTGATGAATGCAGTAATGCCACTTAAGATACAAAGTCTGTCTAACCTGCTTTCGTTTCTCATCTTCACCTCTTTTAACTTACTTTGCACTTTGGAGTACAGATGGCATGACTCAAGAACTTCACTGTAATTTTTACTCCGCCTGCAACTCAGGGCCTCCTTAAGAATAAGCAAACTGTTTCTTCCATTAACATGAGCACCTTCCATGTCTTCCAACTGCATGCTGAGCTCTGTCAATTTGAGAGTCGTCTCTGCACCCTCTTCCTCAGTGTGTACTACTCTGAACTTCATGATAAGATTGCACTCTACTACTTGGCAAGGAAGGATGTCTTTTGCAGGAAGAACAGATCCAAACCGTATTACAAAATCTTTGTCTGTTGGCCAATGCCTCTGTCCACCCAGAGGGCACCAGCTGGCAACATTAGCGGCTTGTTTTATTTTTCTGTTTACAACAATCCAACTAAGCCGGAGCCCATCACAGAGCTCTCTCCACAATTTACCATCCTTCCTTTCTTTTTCCATAGATGCAATCGGAGGCAGACCATCAGAAACTGAAAGGACAATTTCCTCACTGTCATCCTCTCTAGCTGGATGGATAAGAAGATCAACCCGAAATGGACAGTTGTAAAACCAACCATTGTATCCATTTGCATTAGGAATACCCCACAGGACTTTTGAACAGATTGTTTTATCTTTATACCTCATATCCACAATCGAAATAAAATCTGATGGAGAAATACTTTCAAGCTCATCAATGTCACCATAATATTCAGCTTCATTCCATTCTTCAGGGTAGTCAAGATAGTCATTCCATTGATACTCAGTTACTTCCTTGTTAACAATAAATGGGAAACAATCTGCGTAGAACTTTCTGAATCCTCCAATGGATGTTATCAAATTTTTTACATCTTCCCTGTTTGTTGAAGGCCACATGGAAGAACAAACATTTTCCCATAGTCTCTCTTCTTTTGAGATTGAACAAAATGCTGCACAGGTACATGCTGCACTGGCCAAAGTTGGGCCATCTAGGCGCCTAAATATGTCATAGAAAATGTCGCTACTCAATGATGCCATGCTCTCAACAGGTGCAACCGACATTGCTAAAGATCTCTGGTCCACAGAAAAATACAGTAATGCAATTAAGCTACTTATTAAACAATAGCATCTAGAAAGTTTGAGAATTTCATTAAAAGAAAAGAGAAGAAGAAGAAGAAGAAGAAGAAGAAGAGGACTACTCTATCAAGTTCTAGTCAGTAGTCAAGAGAGTAAACAGCAAAAAAGCTCAAAACTTTAGGAGTTTCTCAACAAACTAATAATAACTTGGACAAGGGCATGAGGTCGCTGAAAAGAGTAAAAATTTGATTCTCTTTGTGAACAACAGATTAGTCAAAAATGGTTTCATTTCTAAAATAACAGCTTCCCAAATTCTGCGCATAGCCATTGCAACAAAATATCTTTTGTTTGACAATAAACAAGTGGAACAATATGAGAAGCAGTGGATTCAAGTTTAAGCTTGATACCCAAGAACATTAACATGCCAAGTCAAACTACAAAGATCTATAGGAAAGAACACATTCAAGCTATGAATCTCAAAGAAACATGGAACATGGTGCTGAGAAAGTGAATACCCCAAATCCATCTTTAACATACTCTCCAATGCAAATCCAACAAGAAAATAAGAAATTATCCACAAGTTCGATCCACTTTGCAAGATGGGGACAACCCAAATTTCAAAAACTCAATCTTGAAGTAACAATTGATAAATTAGTACTAGGATTTATGGCAAAATCCAATCCCTAATGACAACAAATCCAGGGGTAGAGACTTGGAACCCAGAATCTAATTTCCAACTTATCCCCACATACCCATCTAACAGATGAATTAGTGATTCCTACTAAATCAGAAAGAGGAGTAATTTAACATCAAAATTAACAGAATTGAACTTACAAAAGCTCTGTTCTTTCAATCGAAACCAAAATGCAAACAATAATAATAAAATAAAAAACAGCAGAAATCAGGACAGAATTGCACCGAGACTACAAGGAATTCACAGAGACAGTAGAAAGAATCAAAGAAAGAGAGAGGATTGGAAGCACCTCATAGCCATGGATTCTGAAAACATGAAGATGTGTGAGGAGGAGAATAAGAGACAATCAAAGACAAGAACGATGAATATAACGATGGAAAGTGTTGGTCTGAACTAGAGATTAACGACTTTTCCTGAAAGTTTCTCGGGTGAGGTGCCGTACCCGAATTAATTTCCATTTTATAAGAACGTTAAATATTAATTTGGATCCCTCAATTTTAAAATTTTATTTAATTTTCATCTCTTAATTTTTTATATATTTTTTATTTTTTAACTATAAAAAATATATTTTTTTAATCTTTTTGTTAGTTAATTAATTAAATTTATTTAAATTTACATATTTTTAATCCATTAACTTTTAATATATATACATTTTTCATTTTTTACCATAAAATTAAAAGACTAAAAACATATATATTTATATAAATTTAATAGGTTAATTGATAAAAAGATTAAAAAGTACATTTTTCATATTTAAAGTATAAAAAAAATGTAAAAAATATTTATAAATGAAAATTATGTAAAACTTTAATGTTGAGGGATTAAAATTGACATTTAACCTTATAACAATTCAACGCTGCACGATCCGACCCGATTCATTTCACTGCTATTAACCAAGGTAGATCAGGCCGATTGACCCACCCGCCCCATCGGTCCAGCCAGCGTTGATCTTGACACTGAGCCGCAATTCCTTTTTTGACATTGATAAGGTTTTTCTTTGATGACATTTTTAGTATTTTTTATTTTTTATTTTTTTTTAGAGTAATGATACAAGAAACGAAAATGAGAGACGACAAAGAATGCAAGATTTATGCATATTATATAATTATTAATTTGACCTCCTTGCATCACCTGTCATCCCTCATTTTGTTCTCCGTTTTCGTCCCTGCATCATTACTCTTTTTTTTTAAATATATAAAATATTAATTAAAATAAATATTAAATCTATATAATATATTTTATAATATTAAAGAGTATAAAAAAAATTTATAATTACAATTACAGACAAACTAAACCTGCCTTTGCCTGCTGTTCACTACTCAAAAACCAGCTAGGCCATTGTCTCAATATAGTTAGGATGCAACTATTAAATTTATTAAGATCATAAAAAATTATTAAATTTTTATTTTAATGTAAATATTAAAAACAATTAACAATTAATAAAATAGTTATTTCTTTTATTTATTTTTAATAGTTTTACTTTGATTTTTTGGATATAAATTTTTAATTAAAATTTAATAATTTATATAAACAAAAATTAAATTTTTTTTACTATATATAGTTTTTGTTAATATTTTTATTTGATAAAAAATAATTATAATTTATATAATATGTTAAATTTTTATTTAAAATTCGTGTATGAAAAATAAAAAAATTAAACTAAAACTATTAAAAATGAATCGAGAGAGTAGTGATATTTGTTATTTAACATATTGAAATTAGTTTATATATAAATATTTTAAAATATCATAACCAATTATAAACTGATAAAATTATAATAAATTGATAGTTTTAACAAATTTAATTATGATAATAAGCACAGCTAAATAATTAAAACATTTTTAGACCTATTTATGCATACTTTGAAATTAATTTAGAGGCATCCTCCCCATTAGCTAAAGAAATTAAAAATTTTGGGTGTTAATTACAAATTTATTATAAGACGATACATTGCTTACCAACAAAGTCAACTTAGTACAAATATTTTTGAAGAAGAAAGGGCAAAACCAAAGTAGAACAAGCGAAGCGTTGTGATTTGCATTTGCCTTGTCCCGGAGCTGTCAAAGAAAATGCCTCACCAATCACCACATAATACGAGCAGGGAGGGAGAGATATAAGTGACCTAATGAACCCTTTTCTTTTTTTTTAACTCTCAGTATTTAGTAATCACATTAAATCTTAATTAATTTAAAATTGAGTTGTATCAAATCTTAAAAAAAAAAAAACTTTTTCAATGCATAACTCAAAGTTGAGGTTTTATTTAAGAGAAATCGAATTTTTTTTATTTAAGGGAAATTGAATTTCTTTTATTTAGACTAACAAGTCATTGGTTGACCTAATGAACGTTAAAATATTGGATATAAGATACATGTAGGGTGAGAAGTGATGATGGGGTCTTGAGAGATGGCTTTTGTTCATTTACGGCTGTATGCTTTGTGTTAGGCCTTTTCTGCCACTTCAATGTCACAAACTTAGAACCTCATACCATTTAAAATGAACCCAAAAATCCATGCTTATTCGAATCCTCACAAAACCTCTATTGCTATACACAAACAGTTTTTATTTTCATCTTCACTTAACTATAACATCAATCAACGAACCTGATACAATCAAAATTTGGCACATACTTAAAACACTCCAGAAGTAACTTGTGCATACCACTTTTATGGGGATTTTTGAATTAAAACAATTTAGTTGCCATTATCAATAACAATAATAATAAGAAGAAGAAGAAGATAATGCATATCAATTCCATCTTTAAAAAAAAAATAGAATTCTACCTTAAACAATATCATTTCATTTATTTAAAATTTTATTCAAAATTCAAAAACCTTATTAAACGTTCATTTTACATTTAAAAATCAAAAACTCAATTTAAAATTTAAATATCAACACTTAATATAATAAATCTTTAAATTTTAAATTAAATTTAAATTAAATTAAATTAAATAAAATTTTAATTTTTTTAAGTCAATGCATTGTTTTTTAATAATAATAATAATAATAATAGAAAGTTGTTCGGCATCAGGTAGGTGAATTTAAGGGGGTGAGGTCCTACTTATTGGTATTACCAATGTACACCAAAAGACTTTTCTTTTGGGCCATAAGAGACTCCAAAGTAGTTTGGCACCGGGTAGGTGAACTGAATTTAATGGGTGAGGTAAATAGGCCCAACAAAGGGTGATGGACAGCCCTAACTCACTAGGGCTCTTCATTGGCTCCCCTCCTTCCTCCCCTCCAAGGCAACAAGGAAGTTACATGCAATGCAAGGCAGGAACAGGAAGGGAAATCTTGTCAATGCACACGACACGAGCAAGTCTTGGAAGTTGGAATTCTGCTTGAATATTATCCATATACAATCTAATTGATACCTACTAATTAGAAAAATCTCAACATCAATGTCAGTATTCAAATTATAGCAAAACATATACAATCTAATTGATACTTAATAAAAAAATCTCAACATCAATGTCAATGTTCAAATTATAACAAAATATATAATACTAAGTATTTAATTTTCTCTGTGTTACCAACTACGTACATAATTCAGTAGTAATTTTTTTTTGTTAAAAATAAAATATTTTAAATTCAAATCACATAATATGCGAGTAGAGTAGACTAAACAATAGAAAATGATTGAATCTTCTGCCACCAACATAAAAAAAGAAAAAGAAAAATTTCTCGATACTAAATAATAGTATAATATCTAAGAGTCATGATTAACTTACTGTTAATATTTCATGTCTATTCTCTAATACTAATAGTAATATTGTACAAGATCCTGTGATGTTCAGCAGTAATTTGATACTAAGAACCATAGTGGTTTAAATAATAGGACATAGAAAATATATAGATTGTTCCTCAGATTCAACTCCTCACAGAATTGATGGTTTCATGTGGCAGGGGCATCTGCGTCAGAATCAAAAGAGGAAGATTCCTTGTCGGCGGCAACGTCTTTGGGTGCTTCAACCACATCCACATCGTCAGGATCGCGGCTGGGGTCAGACTTGTTCATGGCGGCTCGAGCCTTGTCGAGGAAGGGCTTGAAGGCCAGCTCTATGGCCATCCAACCGAGTGCGAGCGCCCCAAAAACCACCGCCGCTTGCTTCATGCCCCTTGATTCTCCCATTTTTCTCGACCTTGCGTGTCGCTTTTATTGAGACTATTCGATGCAGGGTAGGCTGTCTTTTTATGCGGATGAAGGGTTATGGAACTGCATGAGACCCACCATTGTTTTGATTTATCGTTGCTTATCGACGGTCAAGATTTGATTTAGGATTTTATGTTTGAAATTGCTATTTTTTTTTAAGAAATATAATATTAAATTAGTATTAATTCGAAAAAAATCGAGTATGAGATCTGCGGACTAAATTACGTTTCACCTGCTTTCCACACGGGGGGAATGCTATGTTTGGAATTGCTATTAAATAATCGAGTTGTTATTTTGGAATTTTACCGGTGTGTGTTGAAGCGGTTCTTTTTGTCACTTGTTCAATCAAGGTTTGAGAGTTTTTAATCTTATTCAAAAAAAAAAAAATTTAAAATTATAGTTATTCAAAAAAATTTGTTATTTTGTAATTCAAAAACAGAGCTCAAATAAGGAAAATTTTCTATAATATTAAGACATTTGTTTTTTATTTTTAAATTTATGTTTTATAATTTCATACAATGTAGATTACAAAACAAAAATAAATTTTCATAAGTAAATTCTAGTTATTAATATTTTCTTTTTTCATTTCTAGTTTCTTTTAAATGAATGGAATTGCTTCGTTCGAGCGTTTGTATCTATAAAGAAATTCATACCTTGGAAAGATTCTTCTATTGTCCCTAGACAAATGGCACGCATACTAGACACTTACAGGCAGGTACAGGGCTCTAAACTTGGGAAGCCCTAAAGGTCCGTGCATAAAATAAAGTAAAAATGTAAATAAAAATATTAATTTTATAATTTTTTTATTTAAAAATATTAATTTTATTAAATTTTAAATAAAAATATCAACTTTTAATTTTTTTTTATTTAAAAATACTAACTTTTAACATTCCAATCAAAAATTTCATTTGTTATATTAACATCATTATTTAATTAATTTTTAAATAAAAAATTTTTAAAATTGATATTCTTAAATAAAAAAAATAAAAATTAACATCTTTAAATAAAAAAATTAAAAATTAACATTTTTATTTAAAAACTAATAAATTTAACATTCTTAAATAAAAAAAATATAAAATTAATATCCTTATTTATACCTTTTCCCCATGCATAAATGCACTTTGAATTATCCAACATCAAAATTGCAATTTGAAATTTTCAAAAAACAAAAATGTAACTTAAGAGATGTGAATGCAGATGAATGCAATTTAAAATTTTCAAAATCAATAATCTAATGCATCATATTAGGATTATGACAATCCAACACTGCTATCTTTTCAAGTTTCTCACCTTTCCTTGTAATGCTCAAAAGATAAAACATACCGGAAAAATAGATAGCAAACAGATAGTTGAAAAATCTGATTCATGATCAAGATTATGCCTCACAAGGCAAATCGTGAAGTACGAATAGCAGTGCCACTCTTTCAAGGTTCCAAAGATTAACAGAGACTCCCTACTACAACAACGGTGTTTATATATCCTGGTCTTACAAAAATTAGGAAGCAGTGCAATACATCTAACGGCCTCTTCCACGTCCACGGCCACGTCCGCGTCCCCGACCCCGTCCCAATGGCTTTCCTGAAGTTAGCATAGTATTAGCAAACATTTTGATACCTACAGAAATCATGAAATTGAAAATAAATAGAGGTGAAGCCAAGCAAATATGTCTGTACCAGCAGTTGGCTTCTTGGGTTTCACCCTAGGTGTCTCTTCAACCAGCAATGTCTCAAGATTCAAGCTGTCAGGCAGAATATAATAGCGAATATTGTTACCCCTCACACTGAGGTGATCCAAACTCACTGGATTTTTGCCCTTCAATGTCAGTTTCACTGTTTTCAGATGCGTGTTCATGCTTACATCCACACCTATAACAAAATAAATCCAACCAGTCAAAAGATTGCATCCATATGAATCTATGTTATTAGGAACTTATTAGTCATTCTACTTCTTGTTCTAAAGTTCATTGTGCATTCTGCCTAGCTTTTGCCTAGGTTTTAGATCGATAAGCAAGAAACCTCCTGATGATAGAATATGAAACAATAAGAATCTCAGAATTAGTCACTCATGATTTCACCAATAGTTTATTGACTTTATTCTCCATCTAAAGAAAATTATTGTGAACTGAAAATATCTTAATTAGAAAAGTTACAGACTAGCATCTTTTACTTCCAGAAGAAGAATGAATTCAAAGTTTCATGAGAATTCCAAACAAACAGGACGACAGCCATGTCAAATTTAAGGAGCTAAAAGCCAACAGAAATATCATAAGAAGCAACTATTCATTGGCCCTTCTTAGAGTCTAATGTCACAAAAACAGGAAAGATGAGGGCACAGATGTCCATGCAAATAAATGATTTACATTTACTTGAGAATGATGAAACATTCAACATACGTGCAATTGTCCCACACTAAAGGCATGGGAATGAGGGTCCCCTAGAAATCAGTTGAGTACATGGACATTTCCCAGAGGATACCTCCCATTAGGAAAAAAGTCTTAGTCATGAAATGAACTAATTTCATTGCCTTGAACAACCAGTAAGTATGACAGTGCACTTGCACTTTCTATGTGGTGAACTGCTGAAGAAAAGGTACTGTAATTGTTTCATGCCAACACTAATCAGCATAGTAGGTCCGCCGCAAATCTAATTCATCTTAGAACATGATGATAAACTGATTCAAATAATGAGAACCTAAAACCACTCAACTTAGAGTTTGAGATTATGACATTCCTACTCCTTGAATACATGCATTATACATTATCCACACAATAAGTAAACAAAGGGGAACATCAGCCTCCCATTCTTAGACAAACCTGCCAAAAGAACCTGCATTTCCATGGGCCTATTAATGAGAAACCATCCCCCTCTTAAGCTCTCATTCTGTAAATGTAGCAAAGTTCTAAATTGAGAATTAACTCTTGTATGCAGATCTACTGAACTCTCCGTTAAATAATGACTATGCACCAATCTCCAACTTCAGGAGGAAGATTATATGCACTACGATCATGCTGTAGCGAAAATAATGACCATGCAAACTATCATCATGGGAAACCATATCGAGATTCAAGAATCATATAAAACTAACTAATTAGTAAGAAAAAAATCCTAACACATTGTTTACAAGAGTATCATATCCAGTTAACGTGTTACAGTTTTGTCTATCCGAAAACAACCATAAGGACCTAAAACATTACTTCAAAAATCAAGGAGTTCCAGCCTTGCTACATGCGCGTTGAGTTAAATTCGTTTTAAAAATCTACCAATTAAGCAATTGTGATTGAATCATACAAGAAAAATCCACAGAACTTCATGAAAACTGGTAAATACAGCTTCTAAACAAGAGAATTTCACAGAAGAGTATCTCCAAACAAGAACTTAGGGTTTAACAAAACCCTAGATGCAGAAACAGGAGAAAGTAAAAGAGAGAAGAACCTGTGATGGTGCCGTGAACAACGGTTCCGTTCTTGAGCTCAATAGACACGGTCTCGTTGTTCAACTTCATCAAGAACCTGCTCCAAATTATCAACCGAAATGCTATGAGAGACCGCATTACATGTTAACGCTAAGCTACAGTATAAAGTAATTCCAGCTGCAAAAGAAGGAGAAAGGGAAAATCGAAACCGACCTGACGAGCTTCATTGTCGGCGGCGAAGAGGAGAGCTAGGGCTTGAAGCAGAAGCGGAGGTCAGTTGGAGGGGAGGGGAAGACAGGGGAAGAGGAAACCCTTGTGGCGCACTGTTGCTGTTTGGCAGATCTTGGATGAATATGAATAGCGCTCGGGCCACTTTAAATTTTTTTAAAAAATTTAGATGTATGGGCTTCTAAAACCAATTAAAAATTTTAGGCCCAACCCAATAACACTTCAGCAAGAAAAAGGACAAAAAAAAGGGGTGGGGGGAGAAAGGGAGAAAAAAGAAAAACTAGTCGTGGTCAAGAGAAAAAGGAAACAAAATACTAATAAATAGGAGTAGAATATTTTGTCATGATTTTGGACGTGCCATGATTTAATGACTCTCAAATTACCGTTCAAATTATAAAATAAATTTTAAAAAAGGGTAAAATTTGAGATACTTATTATGTAGTTGAGTTATGAGAACTTTATTAATCATAAAATACATAATGATACAAGAGGTTGTCATTTTATTGTCTTTATGATGCAAATTGTATTGTAAATTTTTCTATTGATGAATGTTTCACATTTTCATTTATTTTTTTTATATTGTAATTTTTTATTATCAAAGGGTTTTATTTAAAGGTTTACTAAAATATCATTTATTTTCTTATTTAATTTTATTCAATGATTAATATAACTCCTGTATGTCTCTTTAATATATATATAAATTTACAAGTTTGTATGATTTATACTTAGAATAGTGTATGGTAAAATTAAAAAATTTTATTTTTGTTTGTTATCTTGTTACCTTTTCTTAATTTTATAATTATGAATAGAAAACATTAAATAAAATCATTTTATACATTAAGCACTTATCATTTATAAATAATTATAAGAAGTAAGTGAATTTCATACTACATTTCCATTGATACAATTTATTTCAAAAGAAAACTAAACATTAACAATAAATTCTCACCACAACACGAGTTCTTTTATTGTACTTGTTCACTTTATTATAGTTTTCACTAAGATTTGGCAAATGTTGTCTCATTTTTTTTAAGCGATGGATGTGAAGTTGAAGTTGGCGCAAGTTGTCTGCCTGCCGCGAAGCGTAGAGCTGAATCCCAGCCTTGAAGTCGCCAAATCAAACTGAATTAGATTGTCCTCCAACTGGTGTCCTCCGATCACGATCGATGTCCGTGGATTCGATCCGCCATTAACGAACGCCAGACACAGCACCTCATCACTAACCTGCACCATTGAGTTTGCGCCGAAGATCCTCCAAATCACATTCTCGTTCTGCAACACCAACCTGATGGTCGGCACGGAGGCTCCCAAGCGGGTACCCAGAATGCTGCTTGCGTTGAAACACGTGTCGAACGGGGCTACTCCCGCCACCCTGGCGATGTTCCTGGCAGAGGCGGCGGTGACAAAGGCCCTAGTGACAGCCTTGTAGATCGAACTCTCCAGGACGGTGTAGGGGTTTACCGTGCTGATCTTGGTACCGCCGACACCTTTTTTGTCTATCGACAGCAATGTTGTGTTTATTGAAACGGGTGTGTCGTCGATCTGGATGGATTTGACGCCGATGAAGTATTCGGAGGATGGTTCGCCTTGGGTGAAGGCGGAAGCGGTGCTGACGGGGTTGATGAAAAGTGGGGTGTACTGGAGTGATTGGGATACGTCAATTCCGGGGAGGAACACGTAGGGGCCATCTCCGAAAAACACTACACCCATGGCGGTGGTGGCGGAGGAAAGACAAATCGCAAATTTCCGGTTGAAACTAAAAGCGGCAGCGAATTGTGACGGCAATCCAATTCTAGTCCTACCAAGCCCAGCCATCCCCACAACCCCACTAGCCAGACCTTCAAGAAGGGAAGTCGGCGCGCAGGAGAAGATGAACTTGGGCACGGTAACAACCCTACCGGGATTTGACCCGTTTGTTGACTGCACAGAAACAACATCCTGAGCAACCTCACCGCTCGTGGCGGTGCCAGTGACCGTGTTATCAGGTGAAACACCGCATGTGTTGTGGTTGCATCCTGGTCTCGGTGCGGAGAAGCAGTCCCCACAGCCACTGGCTCTAGCCAAGGAACATTGGGCAGAATTGCAACGGGCAGGACGGTACGTGGAGGATACATAATTGTTCTCGCAATCAACCCAGAGGAATTGGCCGCCTACATCGAGGACGAGGTCGATGGAGAGGGAAGGGGTTCTTTGATTTATGGAGGTAATGTACTGAAGCGTGGAAGGGTCTTTGGAGACGGGGATCACCAAGGCCTTTGGGCGGAAAGATTGCTGAGCTAAAGACTTAGAGAAGAATAAAAGGAGAGTAGAGAACAGAAGGTATTGAAGAGAAGACGCCATGGTTATGGAGAGATGGTGGTGAGGATCGGAAGAGGTGGTTTCAGCTGAATTTATAGTTATGGTATGGTAAAGGAATGCGGCGGTCGGAAAAGGATGGCGCGTCCGGCTCCAGGGAAAACCGCAAAAGTCAAAGCAGGCTGCTGCTGGAAGCAAAGCCAGCTCAATAGATGGTATTTGACTTTCTCTATAAGCTTTAATCCTTTTAGTATGTCAATGACTTAGCCGCTTGATTTGAATCGTATGGTCAAGAATCAAAATAAACTTCCCTTATCCTTGATTTTTTATTTTAATTTGAAAAATAATTTAGGGATAACTCATACATATCATTTTTTTTTTGTTTAATTTTAGGTATCATTTAAATAATTAATTCTTTTTATTTATTTAAAATCTATAATATTGAATGTATCTACTCATTAATTATATTTTTTTATAATTAATTTATATAAAAAAATAAAAATTAATTTTAAATTTATCGACTCTCTAATTAAAATCATCGATATTGATGTTAAAAATAATGTCTTACTTTTACTTTTACTCTTTTTTTTTAATAAAAATTTATTACAAAATAATATATTTAATATAGTTTGATCTATATCATAAAGGTACAAATTAGATAAATCTTTAATTATATTTTAA